ATTGTTGAGTTTAAACACCAATTAAAAAAATGATTTTATTAACAAAAATTGCTTTTACAATCCCAGCACACACCTCTCACAATAAATTATTTTCACTCTCTATCTGCTCTCTAAAAAAATAAAAAAAGAAGCTCTAGATGATTCCATTGTAACAGTTACTTCAAATTCCATCAGCTTCCTAATATCTTAAAATGACGATGATGATTTCTTCAGAAATCTCATCATTGGCTTATAAATCAAATCTGGATATCCCAATCTAGCAGCTCTTCCAGCTTTCTAAATCTTAATAGATCAGTATGGAATTCACTCACTTTAAAGAGTTATCTTCAGCCGAGATTTTGATGAATTTTAAAGTTATTCTAAATTCAAATATCTTCAATTGAGATTTAATAGATTCCAATGGAAATCCTTTAAAATTTAGGCATTCTCAATAACTCATGAATTTATAAGGATTTCATTGATAAAATGGATTTCGAAAGATTTGGATGAATTCAACCTTGAAAATACACAACAAACTCTTCTAAAATTTTATCATTTTTAATAAGATTCTTATGGATTATGGGGAAATTTATTCAAATTCGAAAAATCCTTTAGATTGAATAATCTTTTAAAGAATATATTAAAATCTCGGTTGAGGATACACCTTTTAGTTCCAAATATTATGGATCACCATTTGTTGAGAAGCATTATTCTAACTTTCAGCAAAGCTGTTCTTTCATGTGATTGTCGTGTACATCTATGTGACCTAGTTTTTGCAATGTTTGGGAGGGTAAGAATTGTTTTACTAGGGCTTTTTTCGCATTTGAAACATGCCTATGAGATCTTAGTAGGTGAACTTTACTAGGTGTTGTGAGTGCATGATTATGAGACTCCACAAATCTACTAACGATCCAATTTGGAGATGATTTTGATTTAGTCATAGTTAGTTTAGCCTTACAACCCACCCGAACAATTCCTCGATGTCTTTCACCTGTACGTTCAACTGCATTTTTTTTGTCGATATTTGTCATCCGTCACTCCTTCTTTGTAGCAAACAAATTGTTTCCAAATGTGTTCATTTGTGTCAGGCCTCTTCTTACTATTAGACAATCTACCACTAAATCCAGCTTCTCTTGCATATTTGTTATAAAATTCACACGCACCTTTAATTGTTTCAAACTCTTGCCCGACTTTAGGCTTATGTTCCTCCGCAACTTGTGGTGTGAATGTTTGAATTGAAGTCTTGTCTTCCATGGTAAATAAGACTACACACTTAACCTACGAAATAAAAAAAATAAAAAAAAAAAAAATAAAAAAAAAAAAAAT